GCGTGAAGTCAGATTGTCATGGGATGTTCCCACGCTGACGTCCTGACCCCGGCGAGCAAAGTTCACCCGGCAGGTGATACCAGGGTGGAAATAGACTTCCTACATACATGCATACAAACATGAACAAGCAACAGAAAGGACAAAGATGCAGAAAAGAAGGTGCTGAAGATTCTTAGAGGAATGGTTTCACTATTATCTCCAAAGATATGAAAATAAAGATAGTTCTGCTGTTTAACAAGTTACCAGACTGGGAGAGAAAAGAAAGCATGAAGATATGATTTATGCTTGACCGGTTTTCTTTCTTTTCAGCCATTCGAAAACTCTTTCTAGGTCAACTGTGGACACGTAGCAGATTTTAATACAGTCCCAAAAAAAAAAGGACATTTCTCCTTGGCCCATTATTTCTTTATTTAAAAAATGCTCATTTGAAATAGTAAACCCTTTTTTTTTTTTTTTTTAAGCGATACCAAATTTGTAGAGGAAACTATAATTTTGAGTCCAGCAGCAAAGATGTGGATTAGACCTGTTAAAAAATAAAGAATAATTAACATATCCTCTCTGTCTATGCCTAATAGTCTGCTGTTGACTTCTTTATTTATCTGATTGGATAATTAAAGTTATATATGAGCAATATAATACAAGCAATTTTGAAACACTTATATTTAACATATAACAGAGTTTGGGATAAGAGGGCACAGCCTAAGTAGCCTGACACCTCCTGCTGCTGGTCATTGCAATGATCTCACACTAATGTGGGAGGCTATCCTATTATTTAATAAGCGCCCTGTGGTAGCAAACATATGCAGGATCTTATTTCTAATTCTTTTAACCCTTCAGTGGTGGAAGACCCCGTTTTTCTTCTATCACTTTTCCTCCACAACCATCTGTTCACCAAAAAAAAAAAAACATTTCTTCACAGAACTACCCACCCTACATACAGCTGTTTTCACCTGAACACCATTTTAAATGTTCTAAAACATAAACTTTAATTGATATTTTATTTTACCAAATGCAGAAGGTTGTTTTTTGTTTTTCCTTTTGTTTTTGTCAGATATGGAACATATTGAAATACATTTCTCCAATTAAATCCATGAAAAAGCAAAAAAAGATAAAAATAAATCAATATATATGAGGTCTATATTTTCTTAAAATGCAAGTATTAGATATGCAGCGGTTGTTGGAAAGAAAATAATTGTTAAAGCAATAATGTTTGGAACATCTGGCACCAGACCTGCATGTGGGTCTTTAGCTCCTCTGTAGCAAGTCCTTAGTTGTTTTTACCGATAAAGGTACTGAGAAAAAAACAAAGATTTCATTTGCTATTCACTCAGCTTACCTTTATCTGAAAAAAATATTAATGTGTTAAAAAAAGACAAAAAATATGAATGAACAAGAAGTACTGCCCATGCCATTATTGTATATGTCAATTCAGCTTGAAAATGAAAATAATAAAAAAAAGAAATAGTGTGTTTGTGTGTAAAACTGTTAATTCATGTTAACTTTTCCAGCTTTTTGAAAAAGGTTTCTCAAGGTGTTGCAGCTTTTTACAGATGTATTTGGAGCTCAGGGTTTATGGCATCGCTGGTTGGTAAAGGGCACAAATCTTTGGGTTAAAATCTTCTTATTTCTAATCAATTCAAACAGATAACTCAGGGGGGAAAAAAAAGCCCCCCTGAGTTTTTTGTGATGTTTAATTTAAACTGATTCCCAAAAATTCTACACATAGAAACTCAAGAGTTTTATTTAAAACTCTCCTTGATTTGGCTTTAAAATAACAAATTGAGATTTTATGGACATAAAAACCAAAACTATACACCATGATTGTTTTCTGTAACTTTTTTTCTTTTTGTTTGAAGAACTAATTCAATTTAAACCCAAAGTTAAAGCTGTTCATTACACCAAACTTATTCTTTTCACTTCAATTCAAGAGTCACCATGAGAAGATTCTGACATCTAGTGGTGAAACTAGGCAGATTTTTAACATGTTTGAATGCAGTTGTGCAGGAGAATATTTTCTGTTAAATTTACCAAGCGGGTTTAATGTAAAAATGTATAATTTCCAACTCTCTACCCAGCTTTCAAATCCACAGTTTACCCACAGCAACAATTCAACGACTGAAAGCTGCAGAGCAAAACATCCCAACAACATGCAGTGCAGAGGAACTGAAGGACCTTGATAGTGTTTGAGCGTAACGGATGAACACAGATGTTTTTTAGGTGTAAATGTGTGACCAAAGAAAAGCATTGTTAGAATCTTAAGACACCTACAAACACCACAATGGTGTTGAATCAATAGATCCTGGTATACTCCTCTTTGGTCACGTTTAGAAAAACTGTCAAAGAAATCATCAACATCAGTGTAATAATGATAGAGCCCTTGTTGCAACTGTCCGCTTTCTTCTGATCATTTACCGTTCAGTGTTTTCCCTCTTTGCAGCACCAGCAGCTAACGCTTCGAAGCCAGAACAAACATTGAAAGGTGACGGTTCATTTGAGGATTTTAACACTTTAAGGAGTCCTCTGAGCTAAAGGCTGTGGGGCCTAAGCCAACCGGGGACCAGGTTATTACTTAATCTGCAAAAACAGAAAAAAGCTCAAGACAAAATACAAGACTAAAGCAGAATAAGGGTAGAAAGTTGGTTCTGAAGGCCAAAAACTCAGCATTTCTACAGTGCATAAACTAAAATCATTAGATCCTGCTTCGAGCTCTGAAATAAAAACACAACAAAAAGTGACTGAAAATAAAGAGAGCTTTAAGGTTCAAGAAAAGGCGAGGGTATCATTTCGATTCCCCGCAGCGTCTCCAAACCTGCCCTCCGAACCAACCAAGGCAACAACAGGCACGAATACAAACACCCTCAAGCTACTGCAAGAGCAACATCACAGAGAAACGAAAAGTCCTAAAAGCCGACAGGAAGTGGGAATATGATGCCATGCAGTGAGTGAAGAGGGAGGGAGCCCAACCCTGCATCATCCTCATTTTCTTGGACGTGTTTTTGTTTTTTTTTCCCATTATAGAGGCACATAGAAGGCATAAAAGTTACATTTTAAAAGCATTTACCTGTTCGAGCCCAGAAAAACACAAAAACACACGCAGCCCGCAGAGGCAAGCGAGAAGAGTCTCTAGTGGATCGCTCAAGTCATTAGAAGGACACAGCAGTTGTAATAAATAAGAGTAACTGCAGTTGATATGAGTGTAAGATGGATTCAGGGGTGGTCCTAAATAATAACATTAATAAAGTATTAACAACAATAATGGTAACAATGTCCAGTTCCTTTATGGTGAGCATGGAGTGGAGAGGGTTGTGATTGGCTCAGTACGAAAACAAGGAGGATATGGAGGACGTTGTCCTGCAAAATACAAACGCTGGCTGAAAATAAAGCGAGTGGAGGTCAGCGTGGCTGCATCCAGCATCCCAAGAAAAACCATAAGCTGCAACAAATCAAAAATAGAAGGAGAAGGATCACTACTTATTGGTCAAAGGTTGAGGAAATTTAATCGTTCAAACACTGTCCAACTAAAGGAGTATTTATAACTTTTATGGCCGCTCTGTACCGGAATAGAATCTTTATTATTTAAGCAAACATAAGTCTTTTGGTTTCGGTTTGTTCAAACTGTCACAGGAAATCACTATTAGCTGGAATATCAAGACCAGAAAAAACTATGAAAAGGTAGGAAGAGACAAGATAAGTGCTAATGAATTTATAGCCAATAAATCAAATATAACCCTGGATCATCAAAAATAGATGAAGTAGTTACAGGTCCGTCATGATCTGTCAGCTTTAACTTTTACTGTTTTCTATAGTATAAAGACACATTTTACAGGAGAAATAACTATTAGACTATCTTTAAAAATCAAATTATTCTTTATGTTGACATCAGTTTTTGAGGATACACCTTTATCATTATTGAAGACTGCTTCCTTTCTCCTTTAGTTCAACAAAAGATCAGGTATCAGCAGGTCAAAAGTTGAAAGAAAAAAAATGATCTAATGTTAATTTTACAGATTTATTCAAAATGTCAGCCCGCTCCACCATAAACAAGCATGCATGCTATTCTGAAGCATTTTGTGATAAAATTATATGATTTTTTCAATCAGATATGTGACATCAGATAGTTTTATTCTACCTCTTCTTAGTACCGCTGCTTGTCAACTAATACTAACCGATCTTTTTAGTTTTTCCTTCAGAAGTGAACGCAGATCGTCTCATGAAAGTTAAGGTAATCGGATTAATTTGATGCAGCTCAATGGCCCTGAAATGCTGAACATTGGCCATCCTCTCATCTGCGGACCTCTCACAATCAAAAGTGACTCAAATCTGGCTCTACCCCCACCTGCATCCGTTTGAACTCATCCATCACCTCACAGCACACAATCACCAACACTCACAGGCAGCCTAGAGCCGAAGATGCATTAGGTAAACGTCATCGGTAAGGAAAGCAGTTGCACTGCGGTACCTATTAATGACCCTTAGGGGGCTCTAAAGTCTAGGACCAGGCTCCACGGCTGCTCATCATTGGCCATCAGAGATATATTCTGTACATGCACTCAGTAAACAATCTGATGCAAGAGTTTTGCTTCGAGTAGGCAAACATTTAGATTATACACAGAAAGCGTTACATCATCCATCTTTTTTTTTTCTTTTTTTTCTTTATAAGATCTACATATCTTCCATAACTCTCCAGCGAGAAAACAAGTTTGAACGCAATGATGAATGCCGTGGTCAGCTTCGTTAATATTGGGAGTACTGGGTGGATCTAATGTGACCACAGAGGGAGGCTTTTGCATACAAACATCTTGAATTATTCCAGATTATACACAGGGTCTCCCCCCCACCCCTCCCGCCAGCTTTCAGGGAACAAGAAGGCCGCCTCCTCGTTCTGCTTCATCCTCTGGTTGGACTCTGAAGGGGTGAAAGGGAGCGATGATGGGGTGAACGGGGGGGCGGGGGATGGTGGGCTGTGGCAGGGGCTTTTTATATGGCGGGATTTTATTTTATTTTATTTAAGTTTTCCTCCCTCTGCGCCGTGCGCATGTAGAACTCAGTCTCCCAGGATGACTTTCACAAAGCTAGCCACGTCGGTTTCTTTGGCCTCGTGGGAGGTGAAGAAGGGATGTTGCTGAGGAGGAGATGGAGATCAGGTTAGTTTGAGTAAGAGCAGAGGGTCAGGCTTTAACATACAAGCTTTGCGTGTTTTGTCTATTCTGACAAAGAACTATTTTTCTCCCTCTACCCAATTTTCTCTTTAATAAATAAGTTAAACTTATGAATGCCTTTCTCACTTGGTATAGAGCAGTGAAGTTATTACAAACATTTTACTTCTTTTTTTTTGCATCTGTGCTCATTTGTCACACTTTTGCTTAAATATTAATTTAAACTTGGTTTTTACCCAGTTTGGGCTGCCATTGAGTAGAATAGACTGGTTAAACCTGAATCAGTTATGACTTGTAGAAGTCATTTAGTATCTTTCTGTTTTGCTTTGGCGCCCTCTAGTGGTCGCGGCGCCTGCAAATTTAATGTAAAGATATGTAAAGCCATATTTTTCTGCATATATATTCTGCTGCAGAATTTGATAAATTTGCTGTAAATTGTTCTGTTTCTCTTTTTTTTTAATTTACACAATTTTCAATTATTTGGCAGGTTTGTTGTCACAATTTTTTATCTCTTTGTGGATCACGCTCTTAGTAGGTTGTCATCGTCTGTCTTGGAGGATTTTCCTTCAGGCGTCATAGAACTCTAAATTTTCATTGGTTGCTTTTTCCTCTCTTTGTGGCTTCAATATGTCTGCTTGCAGAGGTTTTACATCTTTACATGTTCATTCTGCAGCATGACATAAATGGCCGCAACAATGTGGAGGATAACCGCTTTGGTCTAGTGTGGGTTGGTTTGGTTTTGTTAGGTGTGTTTGGTTAGATCAATCTCTGTGTTTTGTTTGACTGACTTTCTTGTGTGCATGAATCACTTTTTGAATATCTTTTTGATCAATTGGGATCCTTGTTTGGTAATAGTAGATTATATAGAAACACCGACAGTAGCCTTTAATCTCCCTACTGCGTATTTTAAGCCAAGTTGACAAAAAGCAATAATAAAACTGAGGAGAGTGTGAAAACGAAAGAGAAAACTCACCATGAGTTCCGCATATGTTGGCCGCTCTTTGGCGTTTTTCTTTAAGCTGTGGGGGGAAAAAAAACAAAAAACAAACAAGGATGAATTGAGCAATGCTCCAAAGAAAAGCTGCAACAATTTTAGCAAACTGACTGTCTCACAGTCAGTTTCACAGTTCACAGGAAACAAGCAATTGATTTGAGCCAATTAGTGAGACAACGGATAGAATATGAGCAGTGTCACATTATTTTGCCAGTAAAGCTCAGCTGACTATTTTCCATGAAACTATTTTCCCAAAATACAACTCAGAAGTGCTGCAAGAGTGGGAAGGAAAGTCCTTTCTGTAGAAAACTCTGGATTCACAGCAAAATATTGCCAACGGTTTCTGGCACATTGGAGTCAAAACAGCAACAGACAGTTACTGGATCATCTTACAGAGCCCACACGTCCTGTCAGAACCATGATGATCTCAATTCAACAGAGGGAAGAAGTTCTTTTTAAGGACAAACCTGTTCTGCAGGCCTAGCTTACCTGCAAAGACGAAAACAGCTGCCATCTAATAAAAAGTGTTCATCATGCTTATTTAGACTATGAAAACTTTGCAGAAACTGAAGAATTTCCTGGAAAGATCCTTCATCGGCAACGAGTTTCACTATTAGCACACAGAACACTGCTGCGGGAGCCCTAAAAATGCTGTGTTATTTTAATCAGTGAAACCATCATGAGGACTTAAGGTTCACTGACTTCCATCTGACTTGTTTTGTTGATTTCAGGCAGGAATTATGGATTCTTATCAATCATAACCAAGGCAGGTTTCTTCCTACCAACAAAGCTGCCGCAGTTCCTGTAAACTGCTAAGCTAGTCTTCATTTATAGGAAATGAGGAATAAAAAAATCCTCCAAACCTGTAAAGAAAACATATCGCGGATGGAGCTAGACCAATCAGCAGCCTCTCTGCTATTACTTATAAATAAATAATACGGTAATAAATTGAACTTTATCGATCTGAGAGGGAAACTTCGGACTGAGTAACACTACAGGCCTCTTTTTCATCATCTTTGTTCAGGAATGTCTACTAGTAAAAAAGAATTACCGTAGTATCCAGACTATAAGCTGCTACTTTTTTCCCATGCTTTGACCCATGAGTTTTTTAAGAAGGTTCGGCTTTTCTGTAGATTTTTCCTAACCACCAGAGGGGGAAGTCAAAGTACAAAATGAAAGAATAAGGGGCCTAATTTTCATTTAGCAAAATCACATAACAGCAGCAGGCACAACAGAGAACAAATGTTTCAAATTTACACATTTTGACATTTATTTGCCTTATTAAAGCTGCTGAAGAGCTGCTGAACCAATGAAGAGACTGGGCTCTTATGTGCAGCTTATTTAAGTACGTTTCCAGTTTTTTCTTTTTTTTTATTTAGTGGGCACGGCTTATAGTGAGGTGAGCGCTATATTCTGGAAAATACAGTACTATTATGATACTCTAAAGGGTGCAGTCATACCATTGTTAATGCCCTTTTTCAACGTTTTCCTTCTAATAAACATTTAGCTAATCTTCTATGATACAAAGGACTAAATGGCCAACTATTAAAAAAAATAATAAGAATGTCAATTTTTCTGTAGGCCTTATTGTGACATTTGTGTATTGAGGAAATATCGTTATAATTCTTTAGTAAAGGAAGGTAGTAAAATAGTATAAATGTTCTTAAAGGTAAGTTCTACAAACAAACAGATCATAAACCTAAACCTGTGTGTTCTATTGTATGTCATGACTGCAAAGTACAGATGCAATCACATCTTATTCCAAACCTGCATAATGAGTGCTTTATGATGAAAATATAACTATAAAAGCATCTTTAACTTCAGAGTAAGAATTCTCTAGTAGAGAAAGGCATATTAATTTGTAAAAAGTCATAATTTTCTTCTTCTTTTTTTTTAGTTTTACTTAAATAAACTTCAAACTAAGATAATACATAAAATGAACAGCTTTGACCCAAGAAGAGCCATTTGTCAGCATATGTTAATGTGCAGCGGAGAAATAAAAAAGTGTTTTCTCTCCTCAAATAAAAGGTTGATAAAAAAAAATGTCACAGATCTCTAATGGGGAAAAAAAAACCTCAAATAAAAACACATTTTGATGGAGGAAAGGGGCAGCTGAGCAAAGCAGAATGGTGCAAAATGGACATTCTGCCAATTTAGATACAGGTGATAGCTGATGCACAAGTGGATTTGGGTAAAAAATAAATAAATAAATAACGATTCACACTAACGTATGCAAGAAGGACAAGACAGACCCATGCATTAAAGTACTTTTTATGCATCAAATCCTTTTTACTGAGGCTAAAAGTTATTTTTGAGGCTGAGAAGACACACTTTCATTCATTTTAAGAATATAAATTATAATATATCCTGATTTGTTGCTGATTTAAACTAATTCCAAACAGAAAATGGCAAGTAAGTTTATTTGTTTGAAAAAAATTTTAAAAAGACACAAACCAGGCCTTTTATTCCTTTCTAATAAAAAATTCCCTCTAATCACACAGGCTGAATCCTGCAGCTACCATAATACATGCATCTGTATCCAAGCAACTAAGAAAGGGGGAAACAAATCCAACGACAGGAAGTAAGTGGCGGCAGGTTTAAAAATGAACATCGGGGGATAAAGAGACGGGTCCAAATCAGACTCAAAAGGAATGTGTTTATCATTCAAAACGCTGCTAACAACATTGGAGCAGCAGCCAGGGGAACAGGTTGCTCTGCTGTGATTGGCTGGAAGTTCAATCTGAAAAACTCACACGAAGAGAAAAGACAATTAGGAGAAATTTATTGATACAATTACTTTGTCTTTGGCGCTTAGACCTCGGAGGGAAACATAGCGCTTAATTTGATAGATATGCATGAACAGGAGTAAAGAACATAGCTGTTTCCCCCCAGGCCTGAAACTGGTGGTGGAGTGGAGATAGATGAAGTTGGTCAGACTAGTGGTTAGCGAGAGGGTCTGCTGAGCTTTATGGGGAGATCCAGTGGACTGCGTGAGCTGATACTAGAGCTTCACTCAGGGACCTGGAAGATGGAGGTCCAGTTGGATAACACAGGTTGAGAGAACCTGTCCATGATGAGCAAGCATGAAGTGACATGGAGAGGAAAAACTCCTTGTTGGGAAAAAACCTCTGACAGAACAAGGCTCAACATGGCGGTCTACTGTCGGACCTGATAAGATGTGACAGCGAATGCAGCAAGACACTCTGATGAAACTTAAGCTACGATGGTGGAGGACGGGCTGGAGGTGGGTTGAAACGGTGTCATCTGAATTAAGTTCACCGCCCGCGCACAGGAGCAGACAGGTGCGTATCGGAGGCCTTTTAAGATAAACTTTGGATGCTGATTGGCTTTCGTGGAGGTGTGGTGTCGCGTTTTGTGTCGTGTTTTCCTGCCTTCAAAGCAGAT